TTGTACGGCAGTGAAGCATCAGTGCCAACATTGATGTTGCTGTCGTGATTGATGATGATGATTGGAAATGTAGACTTCAGTGGTTAATTCATTAGCCTTTAAATAGTGCACAAGACCTACCGTTTGAACATTATACGGATGTTGCTGTCATTGATGATGATGATGATTGGAAATGTAGACTTCAGTGGTTAATTCATTAGCCTTTAAATAGTGCACAAGACCTACCGTTTGAACCAAAATTATACGGATTGGGATGCCAGTTGTTTGTGAAGAGAAGATTTGCGTGATACAACTGAAGTAGACTCACCCTATCGGAGTTACTCGCCGTAAAACAGTACTAAAAAAAAAATAATTGGCGTACCTTTCCTTCAGCTGGTTAGTGGTAGCCATTTGTGGTACATTCGGTTGTCATCTTACGAATACCTTAGCAGACGTTTCGGGTTGTGATGTGATGAGCTTTATACGTCTGAAGATTCTCCAGTAACTGTCTAACCTGGATCGCTTTTCATTTTTCCTAGTCGTGGATCCCGTTAAAAGCCACCCCAGGGTCTTTCAACTTGCGAGCAACTTTGAATAGCGGTCAAGCTTTCCGGTTAGTTCGTTTTTCCACCTTAACTATTCTATTGTTTCAAGCACTTCAGGTTTTGTTAGCTCGTTTGTGCCTCATTTGTCTTATCACTACCTTATGACCCTATTAATGTTTGCGGTTTGCTCCAGTGGTAACGTAAGCTTTTTTTCAGCAGAAAGGCCTGGTGGTAATCAAAATTTTAATTACGTTGACTACAACCTTCGGTGTAGTCCGGATTTTTACATGCAGGTTGTGTGAGCCAGAAAGACAAGTACTCCGTTGCAAACGTTTACAGAGAAAGTTATCTTATTTAGAGAGCAGTTTTTAACAGTGTTGACCTATTGGTACTTTTTTTTCTTGTGATTTCAACCCCTAGTCCAGTTTTTCCCTGCTGAAGGCATCAACTCGCAGGTGTAGTGTCTTTCCCAGGAACGCTATGGGGGAGTGATCACGTTCTAGTGCTATTTTGGTAGTCACACACCAACAAACTAACTATTAACCCTGGTTATATAACGACGGTTTGAATCGCACTTTGAAGCTCACTTGTCCGTCTGCTACTTACTGCTTGTGGCTACATGAGCACGACTTCATTGTGGTCCACATAGGTTGAAATCTACTTGAAAATTAATTACGGGTTACCAGCGTTTGCTCAATTCACAGCTCATCACATTTTCCTTCCGCAATATTTATTCTGGACTTTAACTTGAGTTCCCTCGCTAAGTCAGTATGCCTACCGGTTGAGGTATTCTACAGCATATGACCCGTCGCTCATCAGCTAAGAAGCCAGTCTTGTATTAGTGGATCCCGAATCGGTCACTTGTCTCGAAAATGGTGTAGACTTTCGCAAGCATTGTAAAAAATATCAGTTTGCACACAAACCTTGGATTGTGTAAGGGGCTCCTGACGAAAACGACTCGCCTTCAAGATTAAAATAAATAATAATAAAACGATAATCGTTCAACTTTAACATCCTTTCAGTGCTTACCTGCCATGCCACCCAAAGAAGCACGAGGGCTTGGATACTGCCACGTTGTCCACGTCTAGACAGGGGAAGTTGAGATGCAGAGGTCGGGTTCGAACGGTCAGTAAATTTGCGCTCTAACCACTGAGCAATCTCTACCTTGAAGACAATTCTGAATCGCTGCTAACCGGGACTCACAATCAGCAACAAGGAGTGAGCATAATGGGTCTCTGATCCATTGTTCGGTGCTGTAGACCGCCGACGTACTCGGTATTTCAGCGTCGGTCTCAGATGTTGAGGTTTAAGTTATCAACTTGGATGTCACAGCGCCATTATGATCATGTTGTGTACGACGAGGGTCAGAGTGCAACGCCAATCAGAATGACAATGGAAAAGACTGAGGGCCCGAAAGCTAGACTTTATTCATCCAAAACTTTGACACTGAGAACTGAAAATGGAAGAAAGTGATTTAGCAATAAATGATGAGTTTGAAAAACAGGGCAAATATACAACATTCACCCCCCGCAGAGATGAAAGTTCTCAGGAGTTTGATTTATAGTTGAATAATGTCAGGCCTGTCTGTTGCGCAGGACATACGGCCATGTCAGCTGTTGTATAACCAATGGGTGTTCAGAACAATTCGACACTTCACTTTCCGAAGCAGAGTCAGATAGTTCCGGCTTAATAAATGAATCAGCGTTTGACTGCGGTTGCTGCTGTTCGGATGCTGGAGCACATCCGAAATCTGCTGAAGGCGCTAGGTGACGTAGGGAAACCGTTTCTTCCATGCCGTTAAGGTATCTGACATATGCGTACTCAGGGTTACATTCCAGGAGCTCAACCTCTTCGACTAGGGGGTCGTACTTTGAAGATCGTGTATTTCGCCGCATCAGAACTGGTCCTGGCGAAAGCAACCACTGTGGCAAGGACGTTTGTTTCGAGTCGTCGAAGGCAATGGTCCCTTAAAGTCAATGCTTAAACGTTCAAACGTTTGTGTGGCTTTAATGAGGGTACCGCCAGATGACTTGAAGAAACGTGGTTTTAGTTCCGCACACACATGACACTGCTTAATGACGAGTCGGATATCCTCTAGGGAGAATGGAAGATTCTTGGCACGAACGAAATGCATCATGCGTGTTGCTCCAGGATGACATAGGGTTGTGTGTGAACGTTTTAGATCCAGGTGAGATGACACGCCGAGAAGGCGTGTCAGCAGCTTCGTTTTCTATGCCTGCTCTGTAGGTAACGTCAAAAGAAAAAGGCGATAGCTCCATCCGCCATCGTTGGATTTTGTCATTTTTTATTTTCCATTTTTGTTGAATACATGAATGCAACGGATCGCCGATCAGTTATAATTTTGAAATGGGTCCCGAGTAGGTAATGCCTCCATTTGTGCACTGCTTCGACAATTGCGCAAGCTTCTTTCTCAACAGAGGAATGTTTTTTTTTCGCTGGCAGACAGTGTACGTGAGAAGAATGCGACCGGTCTGCCATCTTGATTGAGTGTAGCAGAAATCGCGACATCAGATGCATCAGTTTCGAGCACCAAAGGTATTCTCGGGTCGATAGTGACCAAGGCTGCATCCATCAACTCCTTTTTCAAACTTTCAAATGCTTTTATAACAGATTCAGGGACAGGAAAGGTTGTATTGTGAGTGATTGGGTAGATCTTATCCGAGAAACGGCTTATCCAACGAGAATAGTACGCGAACAATCCTACCACTCGTTGTTGAGACTTGATGTCGTTCGGAACGGGCAGTTCTTGCAATACCTTGAAGCGTTCAGGGTCTGGTTTGATGATACCTTCAGTAATTTCATAGCCGAGGAGTCTGAGCTTAGTGGTGGAAATCGTGCTTTTATCGTGATTTAACTGAAGGCCGTACTTTTGTGCTACGGTGAGGAAAAGCTGGAGGTTTCGATCATGTTCTTCTTGCTTCTCTCCACGAATGGTAACATTATCCACATGCGCATATGTCCCGGTAAGTTGTTCGGCGCGTATTATGTCATCCATTACCCTTTGAAAACAGGCTACCCCATTCGTTACTCCGAAAGGTATTCGACGGAACTGATAGAGGTTGTTGCAAGCCTCAAAAGCCGTGTAGATTCTGTCGCTTTCTTTAATGGGTATCTGATAATACGCACTTTCAAGATCAAGCGTGCTGAAAATACGATATTGAGCTATTTTAGTACTTAAATCTTCAAGTCTGGGGAGCGGATAAGCGTCTAGTTGCGTAAATCGGTTTATAGTTTGACTATAGTCAACCACCATTCGCTTCTTCTGTCGTTCATTTGTCGTGACGAGCACTTGCGCTCTCCATGGGGACTTCGAGGGTTCAATGATGTGTTGGTCAAGTAAACGCTTTACTTCAGAAGCAATGAAGGCCTCGTCGTCTGCAGAATGTCGCCTGGACTTTATGGCGATTGGCTTGCACCTTGGGTCAATATGCTCGAACAAAGTGGGAGGTTCAATTTTGGCAGCAATTAGGCCACAAAGGGAAAAAGAAGGTTTGTCACCGTTGAATGAGATTTCCAGGGACTTATGAAGCTTAAGAAAGTCATGCCCTAGCAAAATATCTGCACAGAGGTCACGTAATACTGAAAACCTGAAAGAGGGATACTTGTTTTGTTTGTGTTGCAACGTTAAAAAGCAATGTCCAAGAGTAAAGCTTTTGTGCTGGATAGATGCCAAAGTTATCTCAGATGACGATGGTAGTACAGACCACTTGTTACGACGGACTACCTTTTCGGAAATGAAACTTTCTGAGCTACCAGTATCAACAAGAGCTCGAAGCGGGACACCATTGGCTTTCACATCGGTGACTGCTTCTTTTAGACACTCGGGAGCCGCTGCAGTGACGCAAGATAGCGCACTTGAAACAGATGAGGTGTTCCGCGGACCAGTAGATCTGCATACCTTTTGAAAATGCCCTTTCTTCCCACAGTTTTTGCAGGTCGCATCTTTAGCGGGGCATTTATATCTCGGGTGACGAGCATAGCCACAGAAGAAACATGAAGACCCCACACTGGCAGCAGTCGCCTGCTCGTGCGATGACGTTTGAGAACGTGGGGACTTTGGCGGGTCGTTCGATACGGTGGCACAGGGAAGTTGAGTGTTCGGCAAAAACGACAACGACTGTTTTTGCGCTAGTTCGAGGGACTTTGCATGGTCGTACGCGGTTTTAAAATCCAGCGACTTATGTTCCAGCAGTCTCTGGCGTATAGTATTGGAATAAAGTCCGCTAATAAACGCATCTCGCAACGCTTCATCGGTATGCTGTTCTGCACTGACGGCTGTAAAGCGGCAGTCTGGCAATAAACTGCGAAGCTTCTGCACAAACTGATCAAGGTTCTGAGCTCCGTCCTGTTTACAAGTGTTCAAAAGATGCCGTGCAAAAACTTCATTTTTCGGCTGTACGTAAATTTCTCGCAAGGTTTCGATGGCTGATTCATAGTCTTTGCAGTCTTTGATGAATCGGTAAACACTAGGGGAGGCGTAATTGAACAAGGTTTTCAGTTTATCTGGTGAATGAGAACCGATTGGCTCTAGGAAGTTTGTGAAAGTACGAAGCCAATGCTCCCAGGTATCTGCCGAGTCTTGAGTATTGCGGTCGGTATCAAATCGTTCAGGACGTAAGAATCGATCCATTATTCGAAGAAAACTCTTTTGGATGAATAAATTGTTGTGTACGACGAGGGTCGGAGTGCAACGACAATCAGAATGTCAATGAAGAAGACGGAGGGCCCGAAAGCTAGGCTTTATTCATCCAAAACTTTGACACAGAACTGAAAAAGAAAGAAAGTGATTTAGCAATAAATGATGAAACGTTTGAAAAACAGAGCAAATATACAACAGGTCAAGACAGACAACTAGGTCAGTGATGACAGATGGAATTTAGACAGTTCGGGATCTGGTTTGTAAAGATGTTTCCAAACTGTTGTAGTTGGTGTCGATGGATCAGTTCAGACAGTCCTTCCTTGACACAATAATAGGATATTCTGTCATTGCAACGTACTTTTGCCGACATTCAAATACACCCAAGATCGTCAGGTTGGATAGGCCTGGTTTCACGTTTAATAACGAATTTGAAATCCGCAGTGTGTACATGCAACTTCGTTCGAAGGCAGATTTATGAACGCTTCCACAGAACGATGTAAAGCTGCGTAAAGTTCTTTCTCACGTTTTTGATATGGACACTTGCCATTTTTGACCACTTGAGAGTATATTGGAACTCAAGTACCTAAATGAATCTGATGGTTTACGGGCTTTACGTTGACACTGAGCAGCCTGGACTAGACGTCCATATGCATAGTGAAGAACTCAGTCTTATCAATCAGTCTTAGTCTTATCTTAGTTCAGATCCAAACAGCGGCGTGCAGTTGCCGACCTCACCGAGGCTAGGTAGTGTGTCCTCTGGATCTTTTCACAGGACTGTAATATCGTCAGTGTAATCTAGGTCCATGAGCGATGTTGTAAAACAGGGCGTACAACGTTGTCCAGTCAATCGCAACATCGGAAAACATCGGTGAAGGCGGACAGTATTGCCAAACACGACACTTTAAAAAACGTTGCAATCTCCACGTATATTCAGTTGTGGGTCCTAATGGGGTTAAACAACTTATCTAGCTCGTCGTCAGCTTTCAAGACCGACACAATATTTTTTCGTTGACCGGATTTAATGAAGCCAGCGGTGATTGCTCGCTGAAACCTGTGGGGAAGCTCCAAAACACGGGGTTGCGTGAGTATCCGGTCAGCCAATTATTATCATCTTCGACTTTCATTTAAGTACTGAGGAAAGGAAGTCTCGGTGAGGAGTGCACGGTTACGGAACCGGCGGAAAGCAGTCTTAAGCACCTAGAGAAGACGATCAAGAGTGAAATGCCTATATCACTGGGCAACACGAAAATAAACATATCTGAACGCTGTATGGAAGTAAAACGCCATCGAGGATTTGACCCAGCGTCCTTCGCGACACCTGACAAATCCCAGGCACAACGACAGGTGAAATTTAGACCACACCGTTGGTTTCAGTTACGTGTCATGCCCTGCAGGGTCCCCAGCCTTGGGTGAGATGGCCCAAGTAGTTAGAGCGCGAATTTACTGACCGGAAGGTCCGCGGCCTAATCTGTTATTGTACAGTCGCGGCTTATGCAGCTGTCAAAATATGCGGACGAATCAGCAGACAGTTGTAATGTGGCCAAGACGCTGTGATACCGGTAATTTTCCTGAATCATTCTGTCGCTTTTTTGGGTATCGGCAGTAGTATAGAGACACCCCACTGGTAATGCTTAGGTATCCCATTCTGAACAGAACAGCTTATGGAGAAGCTTGAGGTGAGGTTTGTAGATCTCCCTCTTCTTCCGGAGACTTTTTCTCTGTCTAACTATTTCGGTTAATTCAACTTGACTAGAAGCGTCGCAATTAATGGTGTACGGCGTTGAGGTTGCGGTGTCTTTGGTGCATGTCGCTGAGCAGTGAGCTGAAGTGTTCAGTCAGTCTCTTATGTTCCGTTTTTATTTAACCGTGAGCTTCTCGGAGATTTTTATGCTGACCTTGGTGTTGGCCCAACAACCGACAATTCCACGTTAGGAGATAGCTTTAATCAATAAGTAATCCATGCTTTCTTTCCGGTCTAAGCGGGTGGCTTGGCCGTACACGCTTGGGCAGCATGCTTCGGAGTGAATGATTCCTTCGGGAACCCAATCTTTGTAGCGTCGCGATGCAAATCCGAGGTTTAGTGAGGCACTTTGGTGTATGGAAGTTCTTGGATGGAGCCAGGAAGTTAGGTGAACTCGCGAAGGTGGTGACTTGACGGTAACCTGGTGGCCATATCCGAGATAGAGACCAAGGACAACTGGGGTTGCGTCTATACCTTTGTATTGTCGAGATTCGAAATTCACTTGACTGTCCGGTAAAACTATGAACTACAAAGCTGACTAAAAAATCTGTCTTCGAAATGGGATGGTTGCAGAAGGCGCCCTGCTTTCTTCTCTGTATGGTTTGTTTTTGTGAGCGAGTTCCTCAGTCCCATCCGATTGTGGAGGCGCTTTTCCAACAACCATAGTTTGACTTTTTATCGCAACTGATTGTGATGTTGACTGAGTCATTCACACCTTTTGTGGTAATTTGCTCGCAGTTATGCAGTTGCTTCTTGTTAATAACTTTGGCGTGCTAACTCGTTTATGGCTAGATTACCTTACGTTGATGATGTCTGCTCCATGCTCAACTCACCTTTGTATTCTTTGTCTTTGTACTCCGTTTATTTTCGTAGGGATAGTCGTGGTTTTTGCCGCACTTTTTAAATAAGACGTTGCGGATAATAAGCGTTTGTCTTTAAAACATTCTCAACTACATGTCTGATTTCAGATGGATCTGTAATGACAAACTGGATGAATGGTATGGAGTCGTTAACGGTCGACTTTGGAGATTGAAGCAGTCTAAGGCGAGTGGACCCGTTTACTATTATCACTACCAGACCACCGCAAACAAGTCTGATGTTACCAATGGCACTGATCAACCAGAGGATTTGGTTGACTATTTTCGTCTTTCCATCGATCTTCCCAGTCTGATTACCCGATGGCAGAGTTCAGATGCACTCTTTGCTAGCTATTCTTCCACGAAATCGGAATCGGTTAACTCTCTATCGTGTGCTGAAGCCTATGGCATTCGCCTGTTGCGTCAGGATCCCGTCGAAGCTCTTTTTGCTTTCATCACCTCCGCTAACAATAACGTCCCTCGTATCTCCCGTTTGTTAAGGGACTTGTGTGAGATGCTTGGTAAACCTGTCTCTTGCCATGGTCTGAAGCACTGGTTGTTCCCTAGTCTGGAGGCGCTCGCGGAGCCGGGCTTGGAGGAATGGCTCAAGAAACTAGGCTTTGGTTACCGTTCTAAGTTCATTCCGTGAGTTTCTTTGTCGTTCCTTCTCAGTGTACTACCGTCGTGCGTAGCTCCATGTCATGGACACTTTCTTGGGGACAGAGGCGGAACTTCGACAGATATATTGTTGGTTATACCTTAATTGTAACGAAGGGAACGGAATTTTCGAATGATTTGCTTCTACTCAACAAACACCACCTGGGACTGCAGGTAACTTTGTGCGTGCGATGGTGGGCGTAAGCAGCACACCATCAGATGTCTTCGGTCTGACTGAAGGTAGACCCGGTGTATCAGGTGTTGTTTTGCTCGATAGCCTTCCACATCTCTTCCTCCATCCTGTACGTGGTTTCCGGGTCTCTCTCAAAAAAGATCGGAATACTGTTGGGGATGTGATGCATAACAACTTCAGATGAATTCCACAGAACACACTGCAAGAGGCAGTCGTGCGCTTTATGGCGTGCTTGGGGAATCATGGAACAAGTCCACGGATGTTTCCGATGGGAGAGCCGATCGCCGATATTTCCTCCCCCAAGTCAAGCGGAAGTTGGCCCTAAAGCCACATCTCCCCATCAACCTATTAATTGTAGCTACGTGCCCTGTGTACCTTATTTAAAACACATACGGCAGGTTTTTTCTACTGGAAGCAGGAATACTATGTACTTTTCAATTGCTTGATAAGAGATGCAGTTTACATATATCGTGCTATTTTTCACTGGTCTATCTGGTTGCTTTTAGAGCCGCTGCCCGGTACGTTCTACAACATGGCGGAGTGGCTTATCTTCATAGCCTGCGGTCCAGTTCAACAGCAGATGCACGCGAATTTCTACGTAGGATACCAGGAGTTGGGAACAAGGTTAGTAGTGCGTAGCAATAAAAGTGTGATGGTTGAGTTTTGTTACGGATTTGGTCAAGGAAACGTTTAGTTATCCCTAAAAGAATATTGAGCATTCTCATAGGCCAAGAAGCTGTGTATTTTGTGGCGCCCATGTGACCCTGGCTTGATTTGGTTTGTGATTATGAAATAGAGGTTTGCTAAACACACTACTTTGATTCTCTTGGTTAGAAGTACATATTTATTCTTGTTTTCAGTGGACGAAACTGTAGCTACTCTTGCTGTTGAGTCCTCAAATGAGAAACTTTGTTCATTTTCGAACTCGGGTTTGAGACCCCTGGCAACATGACCCTTGTACCAGCATACCCCATCCTTCCGTACATTCATACTTCCCTCGCTTCTTCAACTCTTCTTCATTGGGCTCGTCCTTCCAGTAGTAGTTGTGGCGTCTTTCGTTTTGCTTTACTATTTGCAGGTAGGCGTGTTGGGCGGTCCATTCGGCCTCCTGAAGAAAAGGGACCAAGAGGTCACGTTACTCTTTTGAATCGAGTGTTTCATCAATGTGCATTCAGTTTCTGAAGCTACCCTGACTTGGGAACTAGTGAGGCCAGAGTTGGATGTTGTATCCGGCAATTGATAAATATCGATAGCGTCTATCGTCATTGGAGAGCAACAAGCATCTCTTTCATGCCTTCTTACAGGATGTAAGTATGCTCCGAAAAGTCAGCTTAAACGGTTTTCCTGACAGTTGAGATGTGCTGTTCCAGCTGCTCCCGAATCTATCTATCGTATGTTGCCGGTCTCCCTGTGTAATTGAGCTTTACTCAACCCAATCCAACTTTACCATTCATCATAAAAAATTTTATCTTAATATTTCGCAACTGCTACCAAATCGCCTTTCATGAAGTACGTTTCGTTTATTTTCAATTTTGATCTCTTCAGTAAGCTGGAAGCTTCGGACGAAATTTTATTTTGAATAGGTTGGCTGTAGGGGACCGTTGGGGGCTTTACCGTGGAGCAATGGTTTCTACTCAATACACGGCTCACAATTTGCAAGCACGGTTGTATTCTTCTTTGATGGCTGCTTTGCTCCACTTTGCTGGGACTCTGCGCATTAGAGCCCCTCTTAAACAACAAAGCGTGAATGTGGACGCGCATGTGTGTGTTTGGTACCATTAAAATGTGATTGCGTGTGTTCTTGGACCTTTGTCTGAGACCTACTGTCAAGCTCTGTTGAATTTTTTGCTGACTGCTGCCTTCCCACAACGTCATCTGTAACAGTCGACATTATCATTTATTTTGGAAGAGCATGGTCACAAACATAAAAAGTGAATGC